GAGTATTCGCAGAACCATATCCTAAAACAAGAACATGAGAAGCGGTACGATCACGCATTCGCCTTGCCACGGTCTCCTGAAGTACTTGAAAACATTAAACCACAACTGTAAGCCCGAAATCTTAGTGAGATACCCCCAAAATACCAACCACATATACCATACACATAACATATCATACAGAAAAGAACAACCATGCACTTCGGGTCTACTGTGTGACTGGTCCGCCGCACCGGGCCATCAGTCCACCTGGTCCACCCTCCGATTCTATCCATATACATCGAGTCTACAGTGTGATTGATCCTCCCACACAAGGCCTTCAATCCACCTGGTCCACTCTCTGAGTCTACAGTATGACTGGTCCGCCCGCACCGGGCCTTCATTCGGCCTGGTCCACGCTCCGAGCCTCAGCACGTCTGGTCTGCCCTCGTGGGGCCTACAACCTATCTGGACTGCTCGTTGGGCCTTCGGAATATCCGGTACGCCCTGGGTATGTTGGCCTACAGCACAAAGCAGGACCCGCCTCAACCCAACCCCAGTCAACCAACCATGTGTACATAAACATATAACCATATAACAATTAATCATCAATCAACCGATCTAGCAGATCACATACATAGCATACTCTAAACAGGATACCGACCTAACCGGTCACTAATATATCGTCATCCTATGTACCAAGATACCGACCTTAACCAGGTCTCTAACATATACCATCCTAACTACCAGGATACAAACATAGCAAAGCAATAACATAACAACAATACCCGGATTACAATCCGATAAAGGGCCGACCTTGGTGCCTTAGACCCTGTCGATATAGTGAGGATAACTCACCTCGCAACTGATGACTTAAAAGATAAGATAACGCTGCTCCAACCTCCGACACGAACTCCACCACTGATCAATACCAAATGATTGAACTCAATAAATACCAATAATTACCAAAATACCCTTGGAAGTCAACTGGTCAACTCTTGGTCAAAGTCAAAGTCTTCAATCAAAGTCAACCTACCTGACTGACTCGACTCGTCGAGTCCTTATGCTCTGAAAACTCTCATATCGCGACCCAACTCGCTGAGTCGCCCCAAGACTCGCCGAGTCCCACGAACTCTGACTCACTTCCTGCTCAACTCACCTAGTCGTCCCTCGACTCACCGATTCACAGCTCAACCAAAAAGGTTAAGACTTCGCGACTAGACTCGCCGAGTCCAAGGACAGACTCGTCGAGTTGTTCTTCCAACTCGTCGAGTTCCTGCCTTTCTTCATCCAACTCACCGAGTACACCCATGTGACTCGCCGAGTACCTCTAGTTCTTAATCCATACAGTGGCTTTCTAAGCCATGCAGGGACTCCCAACCACAGATCTACTCTCCTACAACCTTCCCCACACGTAAAGGTGCAAACTTTACGTGAAACCATGGGGAAATAAGCCCAAAATACTCTAGGACTAAGGCTTAAGGCAAAGGGACTTCATCAACCACTCTAGGACAGCACCTTTACAACAAATAGGATCATTACAAGCTTGGATCTGAAGTTTCAACTTTAGATCTAGCTTCTAGACTCGATATTGATTCCACTCAAGCCATAATCCCCAAAATAGCAACCAAGAATGAATCTAGAAGAAGGAAACTCAAGGTAACATATTGTTACCTCAGAAATGATCCAAAGGAGGAGTAGATCCCTGATCTACAATGATATCCAGATGCTAGCCTCTTAATCTTCAACCTTCTTCTTCTCAATTTCTCTTCCCAAGCTCTAATTCTTCATCAACGGAGGTTATACACGATTTTAGGGTTTTCTGGTTATCGGAAGGTAACAAAGAGGCTAAGGGTGGGTTATAATGTCCTTTATATAGGGCACAACCCCGAAAATTAGGGTTCTCTCCACCCAGCACCAACTCGCCGAGTCTACCCATTGACTCGCTGAGTCGGTCTTCCATATTTACACTAAGCACCCTGAACTTTGCTCTTCTGAACTCGGGGTGTTACACAGACTCGGCGGGATTAATCGGAGATTAATCGGAGACCCTAAATTATTATAAAATTATTTTTAAAAAATTAGTATTTCCTAAAAAATTAAGTATTTGAAAATTTTAAATTTTGAAATTTTAAAAATTTTAGTATAATATTTTAATATTTGAAAGCTTAAAAATTTTAAATTTTAAAATTTTGGTGTAATATTTAAAAATTATATTTCTTTGAATTTTTTAAATATTTCCCGCCGAGGACCGCCAAGGCTGCCAAGGACCGCCAAACCCGAGTTTGACCGATTTTGACCAATTTCCGCCAAGCACCCTAATCGTAATCGGTTCGAGGCTTCCAAGCGATTAATCACCAATTAATCATCCGCCAAGGCCGATTTCTGCAACACTGATATATATATATATATATATATAGTAGGTTATAACTCGTGGAAACCACGGTTGGTATGTTCAAAAAATTTATTATATAGACGAAAAAATAATATTAAATGTCAACAAAATTAAAAACAATGTATTTCAAATTGAAGTAAAGTTGAATTAATTTGATAACTAAAGTAAGAAAATCCTTTAACATATATTTTAAAACACTTTCTTGTATACAACCTTGGAAGTTTTATTTTTCAAATTGTATAAAAAATTAATATTGTAAATACCACCGTCATGGAAACGTAATTTGAAACTTTTTGATTGAGTAATATAAATATACCAAATGAAATTATCGAAAAATAACCATGAACTTTTGTGATATAATTAGAACATATACCAATTAATGATTCATCTGGTCCCATATGTGATAAGTAACAAAAATTGCTACATATAAAGTTAATTAAGATTCAAGTTTTACACAAAAGGCCACCTATCACAAATAAATATTTTCAAAGAACAAAATAAGGCAATTATATATATATATATATATATATATATATATATATATATATATATATATATATATATATATATATATTATATATATATATATATACTCAAAAAAAAAATACAACAATGTTTAAACATGACCAAATGTTGGACCTTGGTTGGACTATGATTACAACTACAGTCCCTACCTAAATACATTTAAAACACATATGTTAACACCAAACTGACAAAGAACATATGTAGAAACCAACAAAACACAAAAAGTTACCTTCATAATAAAATACAAAAATTGTGCTATAATGTGGTATAATGCAAATATAAGAGTGGGCAAAATATCAAAAAACTGATGGTATAATGGTCTATAATGTGATAGTATGTATAATAGAATGGAAAAAACAATATGAAATTTTACATGAATTGTCCTTATGTAAACAAAATTA